TTAACCTTTTATATCATTGGTTTTATATCTCAAAATTTTCTGTATTTTAAATTTTTTTTTTTTTAAATTTTTTAAATGTTTATTTTCTTCTTTTTCTTTGAAAGGCGTCTTAGAGCACCTGTAAAAACACGTTTTAAATAAAATGTATTATTATTATTACTATAAATAATTTAATCAAACAGCAAAATGTTATGTTAAAATGTTTACGTTACTCCGTTCAAAATGGTTTAAAAACAAAGCGTTGAGCAGACTACAATGTCTTTGTCAAGGTATAAATAAAGTTGATTGAAATTCAAACAAGTTTGTCCAGAGTACACATAGGAGCAGCATGTTTTTTATCCACAACCGAACTGGGGTAAATTTTGAGCTGTCAATCATTAGTTTTTTGATAGTATTGGTTTTCCCTGTATTGTAGTCCTATCAGACAGGTGAGAGGGCGGGACTTATCGGGAGCAGCGGAGAGGACCGGAGAATGATAGGTCAGATACCGGCGTTTAGACTCTGTTTGTTGAAGCGCGAAGCTGCCAAGGACTGAAGGGTTGTCTCATACTTGGTGTAAACCGACGAATAATGGACATTCAGAAGTTTGCAAAAGGTAAATACTTTGAGTGAAAATGTTACACTGCTTCGGCAAGATGTTGTGTGTTTAAAAATGCGATGCTAAGCGTCGTTAGCGCATTAGCGCTAGCAGGATTAGCCTGTATCTGCATTGAAGTCACAGCTAATGTTACAGTGATGGTGTAGGATACAAGTTTGCTAGTTTTTAAAGTCGCACAGACTTTGTGTGATTAAATGAATGAATTTAAGGACACTTATTGTCATTTCATGCAGACAGTGGACCAGGAAGATCTCTTTGGACCCCCTGAGTGTGCAGAAGTCTACCCCAACCAGCGATGTTGTATCAGGAACTTTGCCGCCTTCCATTAAACCTCATTGACTGTTCCTGTGCGCCATCCATTCCCCTCTCCTCACCTTCTGACAGAACTGAAGGATTCGTGAGTTAAGTGCAAATGCTTTTTTATTTTCTGTTGCCTGCTCTTGCAATTGAAGCGACGGTTAGTTTGTTGTTTCACCGCTCCTTAGCAACGAAACAGGCCTGCAACGGTAATAATTGGTAAATGTTTATTTCATGTTTACATTTTTATTTAACTTAAGTTGATGTTTGACTTTAAAGTGAAGTTTGAGTATCCTGTTCACCTTCATTAATGTGTGTTTTGAATTAAGAAGGAACATGGTACAAAAATGTATTCTTACTGGGATTTAAAAGGTTTATAAATTCATTTCTAGGGAATGACAAAAATGCAAAATATCTCACAATCCTAACTTTGATTTAAAGGGATATTCCGGTGTTAAATTAATTAAGGGTCAAACACAACGTAACACCGACACCCTCTCGAGAGATGAATGTTGCTGACCGCTTGCTTCTCTTGTTATACCAACTTAAGTGATGACCCCAGGATAGCAATACATAGCGGTCTCAGGAGCCATAAAGAAACCTCAACCAAAAGGCCACTCTATAGCCACAAATGATGCTCAGAACAGCACCTAACGTCATCAACAGTACATAAAGGGTCCTAGCCATAGTACTACAAACAAGCAGCTGCTGGAAGAGAGTAGGTGAGTTGTGTTAAGTCTCTTTGCTAAAGAAATTAGGCAAAGTTAAAAAGATGTTTGGTGGCTAGTACTGTGGCTAAGACCCTATATGTACTGTTGATGAAGGTAGGTGCTGTTCTGAGCATTATTTGTGGCTATAGAGTGGCGTTTTTGTTGAGGTTTTGTTTTTGTTTATGGCTCCTCAGACTGCTGTGTATTGCTATCATGCAGTCGTTACTAAAGTTGGTATAACTAGTGAAGCAAGCGGTCGGCAACATTCATCTCTCGAGGGGGTGTCTAACTCAGTGTTACGGTGTGTTTGACCCTAAATTAATTTTACGCCAGAATATCCCTTTAACTTGACTAAAAACTAACATCCTAAAAGCAATTTCAGCTGTAAGTGTAGTAGCCTCTTCCTCCACCCTCGCCTTGTAACTGAGATTTATTTGTATAAAATCAACTGAATTGCAATGAAATATATCCTCATGCGTATCTATTATGTTCCAGTTGGAAAAGGCAGCATCCGTGCACATGCCAAATCTGAATATATTTGTCATTAAGAGACCCTCTCCATTGTAAAATTCCTCTTTTCAAAGATCCTTAATACATTTTTCCATCCAAGTGACTGTTCCAATTTGTCCAAAAATATTATTAAGACACTGTGAGTCGTGAGAGTGCTATGTGTAGATGACACTATTATTGCACTGATATTTCTCAGCCTAATGAAATCAGCTCTGCCTCGCACCGATGCAACACTGTTAACTTTGATCTCACAATTAAGTCCCCATGAACAGCTAATAAAGCATAATCTGCTCTGTATCTGCTTGTCTGCACCACGAGCACAGAAAGCCTTTTAGCATATCTGCGCCACGGCTTCTGACTGACACTTTGTTGCTCTGGGCTGAAACAGTGACTTATTTTTATCACGCCCCAGATAATACAATCAAGTATTAAGGAGTTAAAATCAAACTGGATCTGCATCGCTTGAGTGGCAGATGAGTGGCAGATGCCTGCTGGGCTTCTAGTTATTCAGTCTCCTCTCCTTTTTCATCAATCTCCCTCGACTTTTTGGGAGATAAGTTGACATCTCTGAATACAAAACAGCAGGCCTGCTTTTGTTGCCGTTTCCTCACAAGAGGTTGCTCTTTCCTTTTGCTGGGGATATTTGGATGTGTCTGAATCGATCATTTATTAAATACAAACACCAATGTTGCAACACGCTCTCACTCTAAACTTGTCAGACAAAGCCGCTTGTTCGGTGGTCTTTCGGCACTGAAGTACGACAATAACACAACCCCGAAAATGTCAGTTCTGGACATACAGGCCTCTGTGGTCAATGCATAGTGATGCACATGACTTTTTAATAAATAGAAACTAATTTGTAGTTTACAGGTCATTAACTCTTCCATCTACCTAAAAAAACAACAACTGTGTCTCTACCCTGTGCCCCAAGGCTTTCAGCAGGTTGATAATTTTGGTAAAGGGCGAACCCTCAGTCAGTGCTGTTCTGAGCATTATTTGTGGCTTTAGAGCGGCGTTTTGGTTGAGCATGTGGCTCTCCGTATTGTTATCGTACAGTTGTTACTAAAGTTGGTATAACTAGAGATGCAAGCTGTCAGCAACTTTCATGTCTCGACGGAGTGTCTAATTCGGTGTTAAGGTGTGTTTGACCCAAACTTAATTTTACACCAGAATATCCCTTTAACTCAGCGCTCCTGCTCCCCAAAATCGCCATAGTTTCTCTCAAATACAGAATAAAGCGGCATATTTTAATCACTACTTTAATCGCGCTTGTCTGATGTGCATTAAGGAAAGATTAGAGGAATTTCTTAAAGGTTTTAAGGTCTGAAAAAGTTATGAGTGAAAAAATGACCATGACCCATACTATCCTTTTGGTACACACTCCTGATTTTAAAGGCTATTCTACTGCTAGTGTGTTGCTCATCATAATGAAGTCTAAGAAAATCTCTGAGCTAGATGATACCAACCCAGAAAGTATCCATATTTTTATACTAGTGCAGAATGACTGAGAATGCTGCCCTTCTTGACCCATTCAGAGTCAGATAAGAGTGCCAATGACGTCAATGCTGTCTGGATTGCTCTCATAACCTTTTATACATTTGGCTGCAGTGTCCCTACACTCTGATCTGACTTAATAGCGAGCAAGAACAGCCTGAGATTTCTGCTACCTGATAAGAGCAATCAAAGGAAAATTAAGCCTCTTTATTTTTGAGATGTGTTCCTGGTTTCACTCTGAAAACAGACAGACGGTAGCAGTTTGGTGCTGCATGTTGGAGAATCGATAAGGAATGTTTTTCCACATGAGTGCTGATTGTAAACGTGTATTTTTCTCTCATCTTAAACTCAAGTTGATGTCGCTACAGCACGGGCCAGATCTGTTAAGCGTGTACTGATGTATATGTTCGATATGTATGGAGCTATACAGTCAGAGCAGCAGTTCACAGGAAGTTGACTGGCTTCAGCTGATCTTCATTTTTTTCAGCATCAGATCGTTTCAAATCCCATCAGGTTGCACTTTGTCACCCTGATGAAGACTCCACCGGCTCATCCCAGTTGATGAGGTTAAAAGGTAAGAATTCACTGAGATCTTTATTGGACACTTTGGTCACAAAAACAACAGCACACGTTCCCTGTCGACACTCCACACTTTTCATCTTCCACCTGTTGTTTTGGTTGGACGACACACTTCGAGGTCAGGGGGAGCTAACCAAAACATGATCTGTTTTCAAGGATAATACTTTGTGATGGATATGTTTTTGATGAAAGAGGAGCAGATAAGTTTTAAGTGTCTAATAAGCAGCAGTGTCAGTATTTCAACTGGGACTTGAATGTTATAAGAGTCTGACTTTTTCCTCATGATTTCATGTTGAGTCACAGGGTTTTTAGAGAACATTATTCCAGCACTTTGACCGATTTACCAGTTTATCTGTAATCACAGTGGCTCCACATGCTAAGTTTAATGTCTTAATGTGTTTCAGTTGGCTATGGGAAGGTTTTCTTTTAGACTTTTTTGTCAAGCACCAACTTAAGATCACGAATTATCCTCTAATAGATCTGCAGAACGAAACTGGACCTCAAGACAAAAGAAAATAGTGCGAGAACTGAAAAGTGTCTGCCTTGTTTCAGTTTAAAGGAATGATTGATTATTTCTGTCTCAGGAGGCTTCTCGATCAAAAATTGGCACCCAAAATCTGACGTCCCAGAAAGTGTGAGATCATGGGAATTTCTTATGGGAGAAACTCAATTGCTGATGAAGATCTATTAGACCATTTTAGCCAAATAACAATGTTAGCCACTCTGTCACCATGACAGTTGACTCCTCTTCTTCGAGGTATTCCCTGGTAACCTTTAGTTTATTTTAGTTTTGGCGCCCCCTGTGGACAGAGCAGTCTTTGCTTTTCTTTACATACTAAAGTTGTGCCATCTTGCAAAAAAATCTCATCTTTTGATGGTCAAATGAATATTTAATCCCAAAAATGTCAAATCAGGTCTGTTTCTTCTGCTCAGCTCGCATCCTCCCCCCTTTCACTTGTTTAAAGGTTCTTTCACACCAGGAGCGTTTTTTTCGTGCGATTATTTCCGATGTCAATATTTTTTTTCAAACCCGTGTCCTGTCAATACAAGCGTTCACATCAGCAATGTTTTCCCATCCTATCGCGGCATTAATTTTTTCGCATCACGGTCAAGCGGCTGATTGTTTACATGTTGGAGAACAGAGTGCTTTTTGATAGAAGACACAAGTATTACAAAGATAACGACCTGAAGGACAACTTCTGGAGAGCCATAGCGTCGGATTTCTCATATGACGATGGTTTTTGTGCTTTAACAGTTTGCTAAACGTCTTTGTCTTAACTTTCATCTGTGCTAAGTAACTTTAGCTCGTAAGCTAACCTGTTCAGATACAACACACCATATGTATTTTCACTGTCTCAAACTCAATCACGTTGCTGTCACAGCACCATTAGGTCTCGGTTGTTACTTTATGTTTATGGATTATAGTTTCATGTACTTATCTGGTACTGGCCCTGACTCAGTACATGCTGTCATGACAGACAGACATCTCAACACTAGTGTCTAATCAGAACTGAAAAACAGTCAGTCTGCTGTTGTGTCAGTCTTCTCGCTTCCACCCGTCAGGCGTGTCAAAATTTGCCTCCGAATATTTCGTAATTTCGTGTCGTATATTTGCGTCGTTCCTGGTGTGAAAGGAACTTAAGGCAGTGAAAATTACATATTAAAAATTGTCAGTCCTGTTGCTGAAAGTTGTGTTTGCTCTTGTATTTTATATAAAGGCAGCAATATGAATTTCAATCTATTTCTTAAACACCAAAAAACTCCTTACAGGAGCTTTAATATTCACTGTTAGATGACACTAGGACATCTTTAACCATTTCAGAGATTCATTTAAACTGATGCAGGTCAATGCTGGCGATTAGTTGGATAAATATCACACCAAAAAATGTCCATAATAGGCACAGTGAAGAATGCTGCAGCTGCCACATTTTTGTGCAACATCATTTTGAGTTAACAGAAGAGCCAATCAAAATCTAGGCCTTGATAAGTGTCTGTTTTTTTTTTTTTTCCAATAAATCTTCAAAAAGTTCAAACTGCCTCATTTTCCTTTCAACAATCTGCAACTTTTCTTTTTATTCTGCTTACTCTTGAAACAATCTCCCGACCTTTCATCAGATGTGTCGACTGCGTCAGACTGAATTTACCCTCAGAGCATCTTTTCTATCTCCTCAGCCCGTGGATCTTCTCTGCGCTTTATCAATTCTTTTTAAAACATCAGCTTTTCAGAAAAGCTGTTCGGGGTGAGATGTGAAAGGAGGGCAGTTTGAATATTTGCACAGCTTTTTCTTTAAAGACAGGCCTAAAGCATCATCTGCAATTACACCATTCGTCGTCAAATATGTTTGCATATTCAATAAGAAAAAAGCTGCTGGATGTGGCTTAATTTAAGCAGCCTCATAGGCGACATGCAAACTCTTCAACAATGTGCTGCAGAGAGATACCTTATTAGCCTTATTATCATTATTCCTCCTCCTGATTGTTGTCCTTCACCTAACTTTCCTCTTTATCATTCACACACAGAGCAAACAAACTCTGCAGACGCCTGTGGCTTTCTGCTGAGACACAAACTTGGTCGGTTGTGTAAATAAAAATTAGGAGACCACACATGCCAGGACTGGCTGAGAAGCGGGCTATGTTTCCTGACAGGTGTGGTGTCGTTTGGACCGAAAGGCAGAGATGTTTTTGAATTAATGAGGCCAGGTGATGGAGGAAAAGCAGAACTGGAGCCAAGTCTCTCGCCTGCAGTTTACTGGAGACCCGGTGTGCTTCTTATTTAAATTGCTGCCCTTGATCTCGCTGATCACCAGGCTATAGGCTACTTAATTAAAACTAACAAGCAGTGCATTAACACCCCGCCGGCACGCTGACACTGTCAACCAGGTTATAAGTAAGCAGCACCCCGGGGAGATGGGAGCAGGAATCCAGATGCAGGTGAAGCGGAGAGTTGATTTAAAATGCCAGAAAGAAAGATGGCAGCTTTGTGCGCCGTGATTGAAGGCATTTCTCACTGTTAAAGGAGAGTGTGTGTGTGTTATATGTATGTGTGTGTGGGGGGGTCTGTGTGCAGAATAAAAGGCAACATACCCGCCAAGGAAGGCCAGCCTCGAGCTTTATAGACGGACGCTTTTGATCAGAAAGGCCGGTTCATCTTTACCTTCTCGTTGACGCTGTCAGTGGAGGTTTGTGATGCCGACTCTCTGTAGAGACAGAAAATAAGGTGGAAGGAAAATAGAGCAAGTGACCCAAGTTGACGATTTTATTTTATTTTTTTTTAACCAAACTTAGTCCTTGATCTTCAATATTCTGTTTTATCCACAAAGTAGACAAGTGTTCACATGATGAATAGATCCAAAAGTTGTACATTGATTCAAACGGCAGCTTTGAAGTGACCTCCATTTACTGCAGCGCAATTGTTCAAATCAAAGTGCATCTACTGAAAGTTTCTGATTGATGTTTAATATATTAATCTATTTCATTCCACATAAATCTTTTAGACCAACTTGTCAGTCCCTATGGTGGGTATTTTTGAGCTGCAAATCTTGCAATCTGTAACATCTGAGTTTAAAACAAAATAACATTTTCCTAATATACGTAACATCGCAAAGTGTACACCCATGTATTCTTGACTGCATTCATGCACTTTTCAAGGTTGAACTCCAGTCCTGAGACTCAAGTATTAACGTAGTTGTTCAGCTTTGACTCCTGTTGGAGGAATGAAAGTAACTCTACTTTGTCCAACACTACCAATAAGACAAGATCAAATCAGTGATGAATTGTACCTAAGTATATTTTAATTCCAAGTATTCCTTTTTTATACTTTAAGTTTCTACTCCACCTCATTTAAAGGTAAACAACTAGTTTTAGTTAGTTGGTGGCCAAAACTTGGCCTCAGCAGATTCAAATGATCAAATGCTTTTATATCAATATTTGGGAATTGTTTGGATGTCTTTGAGTTTATTGCTATGAATATAACAGCAGTAACTTGATATTCAAATAGACTAATCCTAAACTTTGGTGGCAGAGCGTATTCTTTTCTCAATTTACTTACAGTTAATCAACACAGGGTGTATTTGAATGATTGTGTGAACTTTTAGAGCGGGTCAAACTCTGATGTTGGTAACCACTTGTAAATCTGCTGTCATAAACTGTAGCCAGAATTAAATCAAAATGAGTCACTTAATGAGGACTTAACTTTTAATACCTCTAATAATGATAATGTTTTTGTAACCTAAATAAAGATGTGGACGCCCATAATTACTGAACTTTTGCCTCCAATCAAGTGTTTTTTCTCCTTGTGAGGAGTGAGAACGACTATTTCCCCGAGTACTCATTACTCTTCAGTAAAGTAACGAGTAATCTGTCTCCGTCAGAGTGAAGACCCCCTCCCCTGTGTTTGTGAATGACTTTGTGACGACCTCTGTTGCAAATGCCCCCCCTCCTCATTCGCAGAAAATGGAAATGGCTTAGCACTATCACCGTTGCCCTGGCAACCATCTGAGTCCCCCATCTCGCGGTGGAGAAATGAGTTCTGAACGGGCTCGAGAGAGGCAGGGATTAAACATGATCCCGCGGACGGACTGTCAATCAAACGCACCACTCTCCAACCTCCTTGCATTTACAAAAATGAAGTAAAATTACACTTTAAAACCCAAAACGGTGCGTTTCATTTTGATGAATCTGTTAGAAAATAAAAGAAGTGAAGCTGATAATGAATTTGGCCTTTTTGTGAGCAATTAAAGCAGGGAACTCTCCTGGTTTTAAAAACAAATCTGTTATCCTGCAGAGGATTTAGTGCTGGTCGTTATATTCCAATGCCAAGAGGCGATGGATTAATTTAATTAGCCTGGTGAAGATTAATGACAATGCATAGGCCGCTCTGTAGATAAGCTGTGCACTGTTAACAAGGAAGTGTTATTTTCAACACCAGAGTGTGTCTAATTTGGGAAACTTGTGGTTGAAGTCAAACCCTCCTAAAATTCCTCTATACAGGAGAATTTACAGCTGCGGTTTTGCATTCGTTTTAGAAGACTGAGATTAATCAGAGGGAGGGGGATCAGAGGCGCTGTGCTGGAGCATCACACTGATGACTCTTTCTAAAACGGAGAATCGTGATTATTGATTTTCATTATCTGTGTGTGAAAAGAAACCAAAACAGGCTGATTTATGTTTGGATCTTCACCATATCAGTGGTCTGTCTTTAATGTTGCAGGTGTTTTTCCATCCACGTTGGAACTGTTAGATTTTGTTGAATCTGTTATGATACTCAGATGAAAACTAGACCCTTTTGAGTGCATCAGTTTCACACGTTATATTAGAGCCCTTGTCAAAGTCTGAGCAAATGATTCATAGTCATTTAAATGGAGACTTGGTGTGTCAATCATAGATTAAAATCTGCTGATTGAAAACTTTGAAGTGATTCCAACATGCAAAATTGCAGAAATGTAGACGCAACATGTTTTTAAAAGTATCCCAAGCAATCTCTTTAGAGGGCCAAACCTAAATGTTTACTTTATGTAGTGTTTATCAGAGGCAATCCTTAAAAGCACAGTGAGGAGAAATATGATAGCAGTGTCTAGCAAACACATTATGGATTGAAATGTTCCCTCACTCACCCTTACTGCTTTTGAAGCAACGGTGGCCTTCAAAGACAAGAAGCATGACAAGTGTGATCCTCTATTTGTCAAGTTTTTACCATTAAAAGAACAATATGCTGATCTAAAACCTGCATATGTTTTGCTGCATCATGCTGCCATGAACACATACAGCCCCTTACATTACAGATGCCGCTTGTCTTATGTTCGGACAAGGCAAGCACTAAAATAACTTTGGTAGATGTGGTCATCTTGTTTCCGCCTCCGATTTTGCTTTTTTCTGACTTGGGAACTGAAACACTGGTAACTCGGGTGTGACGTCATTTTCAGTTCTTCCGAGTTAACTCAAACTAAGCATTACAGAAAGTCAGGTGGTCTCTCTCTTTTTCTGGGAGCAAAAAACTTTGTGTCCGTGATGTCCGAAAAAGAATCTGCTTCTTTAATGGGCTTGAGCTTTATGAAGTCATTGGCATCTTTGAATCATGTCTATGTATGGCCTCCTGGTGCATGGTACATTTTTATCGTTGATGCACTGACATGCTGTGTTTGCATACAGTGGTTTGTAGAGGTGATTTTGAGCCCATGCAGTAATTTCCACTACAGACTCATGTCTGATTTCAATGCTGTACCGATTGTGGGCTTTAAGAACACAGCCTACCAATACTGTTTTTGGCATTTTCCTTTTTTGCTGAATCTTTTTTGGATGATGACGTCTGCAAATTGTTTTGCAATTTCACATAAATGGACGTTATTCTGAAATTGTTTGCACGTGCAGTCTCTCAATGAGAGCAACCTTTTCTCATCTTTACTTCTGAGAGACTCAACCTCTCCAAACTGCCTTTTTTTAAAAAAATTTTTATTATACTCCGTCATGTTAGTGGCCTGTTGCTAATTTGTTCCTCTTGTTTGTTTTTTAAGCATGACTTTTTAAGTGATTTGTTGTTCTTGCTCCAACTTTTTTGAACTGCCGCTGGCGTCAGATCAAACTAAAATTGAAATATGCCTGAATCTGGGCTTCTTTTTTTAGTTAACAGTGCTGAAAACTTTGAGTCTGAGCTTTGATAGATGACTGATAAGACAAACATGATAAATAATTGTATACAGACCTGTCTCTTTATTGGACAAAATTGAGCCCAAAGAGTTTTCTTTTAAAATAGAAGCTCCAATTTGTCTTTACGTCTATTTTTAGCATACATGAAAAGTTTCTTAAATCTAAAATAAAGAATTAATTCCTGCTCCTGCAGAAGTAATCAGATTGCTGTAATACATTCCTGGTGCCAGCCTAGCAGAGACTCCTCAGAGCATGAGGAGGAAAAGGAGGAGGAGGAGGAGGGTGGGGAGCAGTGGGTGAGACCCCTGTGCAATTTGATATTTGCCTCTTTGACAGTCATTTAAAGGGGATCTGGAGAACCCGATAGCCGGGGACTTACACCCCCTCCAAAGGCTTTCGGGACACTTTAGCCCAGCTCGGCTCGGCCCTGCAGCGCCAGTGAGTCGCCAGGCAGGGTGTAAACGTTAAATGTTGCCTATTTGTTCCGTGGATTGGGAGGAAAATCAAGTTACTCTTTCATTCATTCTTTTTTCTTCCTCCTCCCACTCCCTTTTCTCCTCCTCTTCTTTCTCACTAACACTCATTGACTAAAGCAGCTTGAGAGACCCAATAAGAAATTTAAGGTGAGCGAGAAGTTGAAAGAGGGAAATATTTTGTAACAGCTCAGACTGTGTAGACAAAGAGTCCTGATGCAGTGGAATAGGAGGTTATCTGCTAGCTTGCGGTTCCTTATCAGTGGATAAATATTTGTATATCATGGCCGACCGAGGGGGGCTCTGCAAAACCCTCTGACGTGTTGTTGTGATTGTTGCAACACAGGTGATCTACACTGAGATAGAGCTACTGTATGCATGCGCAGCTGCGGCGCGGGGGGGCCGAGAAACGCCTCCCGCAAAGCCAATTTTTCAATTATGAGGTTAAAAGAGTGTGTGTTTTTAATAAAAGGCGGCTCATTAAAGAGGGACTACATTCTCCAGCAGATAACAGGCAGGTCGCTTTGTGAGGGTGTCTCCTGGGAGGACTCCTGACTGGATGTTTGTCCCCAGCCTCGCATCTCATTATGAGCTCATCTCCACGTCTCTATCTGCAGCATCAGGGCCGCAGCATCAGCCTCCCCTGGATGTGACAAAAGATTAAGATTTTCTTTCATAGAGAGAGAAAATCAGGCTATTTTGAGTCACCCCCCGCCCCCTTTTTTTTTTTTTTTTAAACAACAACCAATGTGATCTGGTCTTTCATATGAAACCCTTGCTGGACTCCCAGTTGGCCCACCCAGTCCAGGATTATTCTGCTCAGCCAGGGAGGAGAAGGAGGAGGATGATGAAGAGGAGGGAGGGCTTGCCTGGTTACCCAGCCGCCTGTCTGTAAGTGTCCATCCCCGGTTTGTTTGACATGGCACTGTCCCTGGATATAAAACCGATAAACATCTGGTGGTGCTGCCAGGACATTGGAAAATGAGGGATTGGTGGGGGGGTAGAAGAGGGGGCAGTGAAAGAGGAAACAGAAAATCATAATGAGAAGGAAGATGGGCAGAAAGGGAGAGAGAGAGAGAAAGAGAGAGAGATGCTGATCAGCTAATTACAGCTGCAAATAAAATGCAAATTTATCCTGGCACGGTGAGCACGCCCAAGTTTAAACACAGCACCGTCCAAAAACTCCGAGCTGCACGGGCACGCTGCCAGTGACGACTTCCAAACAAAGACTCATTATCCAATAATAATAATAACCTCTATATTATTATTATTGTTATTAATACTAACAGAAGAGAGGGGACACAGGGGATTCTCTTAGAGATCTGCTCAGATGACAAACTTAAAAATCCATAGATTCCTGAAGTGTTCTCAGATTTCCACTTTATTCCCAGAATTCCAACTTTAAACTCTAGTCTCCAATTTCTCTTATCTTTTCAAATTTTGACCTCTTGGTTATTTTGGGGTTACTTTTAGATTGGGATACTTTTAAAGGAAGAGTGGGTAGTAAATAGCAGTATTTTTCAAAACAGTCTAGGTAGAGTTTGAGTGTGATATTACTTAAATATGTTTTAGTTAGCGTATAATCATCCGATTGTAAACATGTTTTTTTGTTTACTTTAATTAAGTCTTTTGGACCCTTTAAGGCCACCATCTTCCATCAATGTGATTCTACAGTAACACAGAATGGACAAACTACGAGTAACATAATAAATGTGTTTTTGTATGTAGAAAGAGTGTTGCATCTATTATTACAAATTATTTTTACACATAATTAGTATTAATAGTGATGGTTAACGCTTGATAAATGGAAGATAATACAGATCATGCTTCAAAGGGGATTCTTGGCCCTTGGAGGCCACCGTCACTTCACCATCAGGAGGAGTGAGTAAGGGGGCATTTAAACTATAATCTGACGACTTGATATACATCCTCATTTCTACACACTGTACCTTTAAACATCTAAAGTAGGAAATTCAGATATCAATCCTAAATTTCTGGCTTATTATCCAAAATTTCGTCTTTTGACTTTGATTTTGTCATCTAGTCCAGAATACTCTACTCTCTGATTTTATTACTTGTATCACTTGGTTATTTTTGGTCATACTTTGGATTTTTTTAGATCACTTCTTGACTTAATAATTTTGATTTATTTAAAAAAATGTTCCAGCTCTAAACCTAAATATTCAGTTCCATCCCCAATCCCGAAAATGAAGATTAGCTTCATCACCAGGATTCAGACTTTCAAATCAGAATCTGTGTTAGGTTTATAATTCAGACTTTAATCTCAAGTTTACCAAATCAATCTCTGAATTCTGACTTTAGTTTAAACTTTTTGATGTAAAAGTAAATTCATTGTTTTTACTTTATAATTTTCTTCTCTGAGATTATGCAAAATCAAAAATAGATCTCAGATCAATGGTTTAGATTCAGGTGTTTTACTTGAATCATAGAATATTGTCTTTTTTCATTACACAAAAAAATATTGGCAAAGAAATGAGAATAAAATGAAAATTCTCAGATTAAAGTCAGAAATCTGGGATTAAAGCTTCTTCAAATAGCATCCTAGTGGCTGTCATACTACCAGGCGACAGCCCCCTCCACTCCTTCCCTTGGAAGAAAAAAAAAAAAAAAAGATGGCACATTTCCCAACAACAGTGACACCACCATGCACATGCTGCTCCACATCCACAATCCAACAATTACAGTTCCCCACACTGTAGCCTCTATTTACGCAGCAGGAGGGGGTGGAGTGATGGTGATGGTAGTGGTGGCGGGGGCTGCATGTCTTCCCCATCTTATGTAGTGATTAATGATACACCACCTCCCAAAGATTAATCATGGAAAATTAAAAAACTTGGAGGTGCAGCATGAGGACTGCAGTAGATCAGGTGGGCTTGAGGATGGGGATGAGGGGAGTGGGGTGGAGGGTGGGTGAAAACGAATTAGCTTCATCGAATCTTTTTAGATGCAAATATTTTGTTATCTCCACTTTGCTGCACTGTTTTCAGTGTTTATGATTAATTATCTCTTCTTGGTGAAAAATAAATCATGCGAAATTAGGATCTAGCTGACTCCACCGGCGTAAGCAGAGATGGCAGGTCGATGCTGTTAATTTCAGGTTGAAATTGACACACTAATTATAGTGCAGAGTGCTGCTGGAACACTAGCAGGCAAGATTATACCTCTGTGCTTCTATTTTTTCTTTTTTTTTTATCAGATCCCCCTTATATTTTACCAATTAAAAATCGTAAAGGCATTTCATTGCCCCGGGATAAAAAAAGGCTGCCTCTCTCCTAACATGGCCATCACTTTCCCCCATCAGATTCATTGTGATGTATTAGATGCAATAAATTATCCCATGTAACAAAACATGGCGAGCTGAAAGGCTGATAATCTGCAGAGGGGAGATAAGGATTCATTATTCCAAATCATTATGAATCCAGCGTTGGCTGTGACTTCTTTCTTAATCAGCTTCTGTGATCCTGGATACGTGAAGGGAGCAGATAAGAGCAGAGTCGTTTATAATTCTCCCCACCTCGGCCTAATATTTTAAAATAAAATCGCAGGGAGAAGCCGGCGTGAAGGGAGGAAAAGGAGAAAAAAAGAAAAACACACACATTGGCTTAACGTTTGGAGGGTTGCACAGGACGAGAATAATAAAACACATTGAGGGAAATAAATAAGTAAATAGATAATGCGTGGCCCATACATTTTTGGAGGTGTTTGTCTCAAATTAAGGTCATCTTATTCGACATTTACAGCGGAGAATCGTGTAGGCAGGGGACAAAGAGAGAGATATATACTGCAGCGTTTATTTCACATTTGGAGTGGGAAGTGTCTAATAAAATTTAGGAGACACCGGGAGGGTATAAAAGCGGCTGACCGTAAATGATTTCCTCCGTTTATGCACTAACGGTGCAGAAAAGCCACGGTGCAGCAGATAAAGAAAAGCGCCGCTTCCACTGGATGCTGCGCGATTCGAAACTGCAAAATTAACCCCTTCGCTAAAAAATGCTGCAGTGTTTAATCAGGACGTAAAGGTGACATTGTGACGCCTCAGTCTGAGATTATAAATATCAGCGAGGGCCAGTGTGCGCACGCAGGCTCTGCTTGTTGTTACAGGGCCCGTGCAGTGTGTGCAGCGTGGAGTGCACCGGAGGGTTTTGCGCTTAGCTTGTTGTCAGACTCTGCTGTCACGCGGGAGCTCGCGTCAAATTCTACATTAATCAGAGGGGGGAGCGTGACTTTGGACTTCGAGTCTGGTTCTGGAAACTCAAAAAAAATGAGAGCGTCCCTTTTTAATGCGCTACAGTGTAAGGTAAACGGCATCCCAGCCCCTTTTTCACTCTCCATTTAGAATTAATTACGCACTGACTGCACAAAATCGCACCCCTCCTCTTCCAAAAATGCGCATCCCCTTTTTCAAAATTCACATTTATTTCCCCTTCTTATTTAATTGTATCGCGACTAAACAAGACGAAATTGATTCTGGTTATTTCCCCTCATAATTAATCTTTTTATAACACCTATAATATGCTTTAATTATCTGCTTCTTTTTCATCAATATGCACATTTATCAAATCCACCTTTACATTGAAATCTGCACTAAAATAAGCACTTAATTTAAACGCAGATTAATAAATCATTACTATCAGGGTGTGTTATTTACTAATTCTACTAATTCCATAAATGCAAAGCTCTCCCGTGGAAACACTGAATAATTCATCGGTTTTTAAAAAGACACATTCGGTCGTATATGCTGGCATTCCTATGTTATCTTTAATGTATTACCTTAATTGAATTTCTCCCCCCCAAAAGATAGATTTGGGTGTGATCAGTTTACATTCTCCTTCGAAGAGTCAACGCGCAACACCAGAGATAGCAAAGCCTCCAGCATCCTCCCTCTCTTCCTCTCCTCCTCTTCCTCTCCTCAGTGCATTTCACACAGAGAAGGATCGGATTTGCTTGGTGCTCCTTTCAATGAACCGTGGTGTCAATACGCAGGGCTAGCAGGCCTCTCTATATGCTCCGGGTTAGTGCGAGATGCATGTGCCTCTGCTAAAAGAAATACATAAAATAGAAACCAAGCCAGGGCCACAATGCACGCAGCTCCAATCTCACATTAGCATATCGATACGGAAAGATTTGAGATTCTGTTTGCTTACACATTGTTCAAATGGAGCTCTAATTGCTGTGGAGTTTGGCGCGGATCTCCTGTGTTGATTAGACACCCGAGCTATAGCTGTACGGCTTCATCTGTCCTTTTGTGGCAGAGGAGAGAAAGAGGCTCCTCTTTCCCAGCGACAAAAGGAGGTGCAACATTTTGTGTGTCACGCAGAGATGTTGTATTCTGCGCTGCAATATCTGCGCCATTCTTACAGGGGGTGGATATATAGATAATACACTTACACAACATACTGAAAATCTGCATTACATGAGTAGAGAATTAACCACGTTTAGCCCATAAATGTCCTGACATGAACCAGTGAGGCGCACTTTGTGATTTCAAACGATGTAAAAAAGTATTTCTTATACAGAAAGGTGGACTCTACTTGGCCTTAAGCTGTGGCTGTTATCTGTACTGGTCAGGTGATTTTTTTAAACAATTAAGCATAGGATAAAAATTTTAAAAAACTATATAGTAACATAAATTTATTTCAAATGAAAAACTGTGAGAAATAGGTGTAGAAATACAGGGGAGACCAGGTTTGGCTGTAGCAAGTGGGAGGGATGTGACGCCACCAACTCCACCAATTAAGGATAACATAAGGAGTCACATGATCATTTCAGCATTTATCCATGGCGATATTTAGGTGCATGTATTGTTTGTTTTACAGATATAAACATTGTAAGTGATGAAAATCTATTTTTTTCATTCTATATGCTACCTATAGTATTGCAAATAAAATCACGTCTTATATCAGGCCTCGATAAAACACGGTCTCTCTGGCAAAATGTGACACTATGCTGATACAGCAAGCTCAAGACAGGCTAACAGGGCTGTGTGGGGTGTAACACATCTTAGAAATGTGTTACAAATATCCTATTACGGAACATTAATAACATTTTATTGAGCTACATAATTTCGAAGGATGCGGTTACGGAAATAACAATGTTTATTTTGATCTTGAAATAAGACCCATGTGTCATGTGTTGTCATGGAAGAGGCAAGGTTTTTGTCCTGTACTGCAGCAAGTCACCAGGGGGAGCTCTAAATATTTTCAACTTTAACTTTCAACTTTCGGAAGCTTTTATGGTATCTTTTTTTTGATTTTTCGTCTATATTACTTACCCAGACGGTAAATTGGCTACTGTATACTACTTTGGTCCAAGGTTCAATGGCTAAGCTACCATGCTCTCTAGGCCAAATATAGACCTAAATATTTATCTACAAAGCTAAATACCTAAACAGTTGGTTATTAGATTGTATCTACAAAATATTCTTTATGCAAGTTATTTTTTTGTAGCCTAATAAATAAACTCTTTTGGACAGAGATAGTCTTTGCCCTGGATTAATTTCTAAATTTCAATACACCTCCTCTAGGGGTATATCCCATAGTGTTGCCTCTGATTAACTTCTTTTTCCTTATTGCTACTATTTACCCCAGCATATAGGTTTTAATAATGGACCACCATGTGTTCAACATCGACTCCTGTGGTCTATGATATTATAAAAAGATACTGTACGTGTGCTGTTAAAAATCTGTATAACTGTGAGGACTCTAACTAAAAATATCAGTGTGTTACAGGTGCTGAAGGAAAGTGTTACAACCATACCCAGTCTCCCCTACTTGGCCATGAGCTATGGGCGTTTCCAGTTATTTTAGGCTGTTCTGTACCTAGTACAAAAATAAAAATAAAGCTAAAAAAATATTAACTGCAGTTTAATTTTTCATGAAAAACTCGTGTTATTGAATGTTAAAAACAAAATAATAAATAAATGATACCCACCATATAGATTGAAACCCTCTCATTTGTTGTGGCTGTCTTGTTTTGGTTTTGATTTGGTTTCTATTAGGCTACTCTGGCATGTGATGCTTTAGACCCGGAAGCTAGCTGGCGTGCACTGTACAGTAAGTACGGTAAAGGAGGCCGCCTTTTGGTTGGCCCGTATGCGCGTGCAGCCTGCCCGGTAGCCTATATGAGAGCACGCGTGTTTTTCCTCGTTATATGACGCTCTGACTCCGGGACCGAGGGCGCGCGCACCACCAGCACCGCTTCAACCACTATTGGAGAGTGTTTTTTTTTTTTCTTCTCTCTTCTCTCTCTTCCCCCGTCCACAGCTCTCACTCTCGCCCTCTCTTTCTTTCTTTCTCTCACTCTAAATGCCATCGGCGCTGCCATCTCTATGTCACTCTTTTCTTCACATCCGCAGGAAAAAAACCGCCTCCATCATCCGTCCAGCGTCCACAACTACAGGTCAGTAAATATTTAGATTCGCTCTGAAGCTGGTGCATCCTAAAATACGCTCCGTCCAATCGGCTGCCTCTTCTCTTTCAGTGGCTTTTGTATTGATATGAGAGCTCACTGATGTTGCTCGTTTTATGAATGATGGGGGAAACTTTTGTGAACGGGGTCTGTACGTTAGTTTGGTTTAAAAATAAATAAATAAACGAAGGAAACGAAAAAAACCCGCTTTCTAACGAAGCTGTCTGGTCACATCTATTTGTGCTCCTGTCCACTGTGTACGGCTGTGTGCACTTGCTTGAAGAAGGGGGGCTGTAGTGTTGATAACACCGGTTATAACACCCATGACGTCCGCCATTGTTGCCGTTAACGTCGTCTCGAGCTGCTGGTTTTTGTTGCTACATTCTTTTAGCTAATTGAAGCGTAACTAGCTTTGCTGAAAATATAATTAGCGCCGATTTTCCCAATCGTTTTCACAACTGTCAGGCTCGTTTCAAGATTGACATGTAAAACGCATCAATTCCTAAAATATTTAGCCACCTACCTCAAACCGAGACCCCCCCAAATAGCGCAGATGAGGGTTTTAACGACCTATTACCTCGCGAGCAGGTTGGTGGTATAGGCAGAATCTCATACAAGCCGTGAAATTGATCTGATTACCTTGCCGGCGGGTCGTAAAAAAGGAGTCAAGCTTGCTGAAGCTGCGCTTTCCCTCCGTTATTAGCTCCCTCCATCTCGCCTTTTGGTCGATACGTCTTGATATGGCGGAGAAAGAGAATGAATTGAATGCCAAATTAAAGGCGTCTCACGCGCACGAGTGTCACAGGCCAAGAACTCTAACGGTTTAGAACGCGAGAGATAGAACGTGCACATTTGAATTTGAGCACAACCGTTATTTTTTTAAAAATAACGGTTTGCCTTTCAAAAATCAACAAAAAACGTCACTACGTTCTAAAAAAAATAATTAGCTTCTCTTCATAAAATGTTATTAATCGTTTAAACCGAGATGAAAAGCCACGTAGTCCGTCTGTACCGAGACAAAGACGCCACACTATAGGTGCTGTGGTTTCATTTGAATCTTCTCTCAGTGTCAATTTTGATGTTAAGGGAGTTGCCTCACATATTTAAATTAATACTTTTGTTCAAAGAATTACGTCCGATTGAGCAGATAAAGCTAATTTTAGCGTCCAAACAAGCATTAATAATATAAAAATACAAACGACTCTCTTGCTGTTGGGGTTGCAGAGGCCCTGCATGTGCTTTAAATCAGAGATTACATCAGTGCGTCTGGCGAGCTGCGATATAGACGCAGATAAGCATCAGAAGAAGTCAGAAAATTGGCAGACCATTTTGTTTTCCCTTTTCGATGGGAGGAATGACACAAATTAGCCTGAGGAGAGCTACTTTTTTCACACTCAAAGAAATGAAAAGGTGATTTATGTTTGTACTCTCATTCTAGGAAATCCATTTAGGCTTTTTTTGAAGAGTTTCACGCACAGAATTTGACGCCCTCGTTTGGTTCTAAGAAGCCGAGTGTGTTCACATGCTGACAAATAGTTTTTCTTTTTCTTGAAAAGACTAGAAAGGTAGACGGATGACTCAAAACTGCTTTAGAAGTGTGACATATAAGCTAGCTACCAGTTTCAAAATGTAGCCGAGGAATGAGCGTTTACCATGTACAAAGGTATATCACAATTACACATCACATCGTAATGCCTGCTGGATTAAGTTGCATTTTTAATCAGTGACCTAGCTTATCCGTGAGCTATTGAACAACCGTGTCTGTTCTCGCCTTTTCCTCTGGTATTGTGTTTTGATTATTTTATTCAGACGTTAAAGTGAAGGGTTAACAGGTCGTGGCAATTTTGTAAGGTTCATTAAGACACCAGCATTAAAAAAAAGTCTGAGTGGAATTAAAATAATGCAAAGAGGTCTTTGATTATTTTTTAAAATGTGTCTTTTTAAAATAAAATTTGAGTTTTTTTTTACGTTAAAAATATACAAAAATAATAAGGCTATTGTTATCATTAGTATCATTATTAGTGCCACAATTAATACTGTTGGTGTAACAGTGTGGAAGGTGATAAATAACTATTCTAATGCATTATTATTGTTGTGTGATTATATCTCGTTGACCTTTAATTAATCAGATGAAGAAAGGAAATCATAAATGATGGTGGGAAACGATGTCTATTATTGATGATGCATTCAAACACAGGAAGCCAAGGTACACTTAAACTAAACACACACACTCACGCACACACACACACACACACAATCTCGCCTTCTCTCACACACAAGTACAAAGAGACGTTATCTGAAGCATTTCATCCCCCACACACACTGGCAGTGGAATAATCCGTTCGTGTCTTAAATTCTCAGCCGCGGTGTAGGAGAAGAAACTGTGCCATGTCGTGATTTTAATCAAAGCTGGCTGACATAATCACTCAGAAATTATCTCTGCCATCACAAGCCGGACTGGCCCCCTCGCCTGCTTTTATGAATCAACCTTTACGCACAAACGCGGCGCTGCTATTTGTAGGCCATTAACTTCAAAAATAGACCCAGACTCTCTCTCTCTCTCTTTCTCTCTCACACACACAGACAGACACAAGGAGAGGGAAAGAAAGCTGAAGCCACCGTTTTCTCCCTCCGTGGAGACAGTTTTCAGGATTATAAATGACAACTTTTTAAGAGAGCCAGCCTTATTCCTCGCTGAATAAGCTCCGGCGTTATTGACACCAAGGCTTGGGGAATCAAGTCATGGGACGGCTTCCATGTCCCATTCTCTAAGCTTCGATACATCCAGTCAAGAAACAAAAAAACATAATCGGGATTTTAGGCTACATTTACCGTCATGTGTTTGCCTCTGAGCACCTATAACGGGGACTTTGTGGATAATGGCCTCCGCGATACTTTTCAAGAGGATAATTACACGAGTCCGCTGACAGCTTGACAATGGCAGCTACAGCAGTTTGCATCCAAGTTCAGTCTCAGGTTTGCCTGCCTCTCTCTCTCTCCCCCCCTCTCTCCCATTCTCCCTCTCCCTCTCTCTTTCCAGGTGTAGGGCTATCCTGGAGAGGAAAAAATAGCACGCTTTGCCAAGACTCTCTCTGTCTGTCTGTGCTCTCCATGCGCAATAGACACAACCACACAATCAAACAGGGATGAATGAATCAGGGTTTCGACTAATAATTAAGTGATTACCTGCAGGTCACAATCATAAAGATATTGATACTCTATGTCATGCATTATTTTTCATTTTAGCTTTTAATTCATCCCTCATTAGACCGACCCTACCTGGTATTAGACGGTGACACAACAATGCTGATACCTACGCGGTGCAAAGGGAAGGGCGTGCGCGCTCACGCTGGCAAATACGCACATGCAGCCGAGAGAGGGTTTATTTCCTGACTGTTTACACCACGTGACGTCACATCCAGCGTCGTCGCCAAGGCTGCCCCCACCACACACACACACACACACACACACACACACACAGGAACATATTCTACTATTACATACTCCAAATCTGGAAAGGAGAAGGCAAACTGAGCGTCTTTGGACATGAAATAGTTCCCCAAGGAGACGCCCCTCATTTCTCCACCCGTGGCTCTGAACATACAGGGTGAAGTCCTCTGTGATGTGAGGGGAAAAGGTCGCCCTTTTAAGTGCTTTTATGTTTAACTCGCAAATAAAAAAGATGGAAATCGAAAGGGGGTTAAATCACTCCCTACGCGCGCTATCCTCTTACATTTAATGCACTGTTTTGAATAAATAATGACATGGCGCATTGTTGCTTGTCTGTCTGACTTGCTCCAAGGTTACAGCACGGTTACTGGTGACTTAACTGACAGCCCATAATAGTATACATTAGGGTTTTTTTTCTTCTTTTTTTGATATATGTATTTTCTCTGAGACTTTAAGCTGCTGCGTCCTTGCCTCACTGTGAGGAGAACTGCGCTCAGTTATTTATTTTTTTTGGATGGTGCCATTAGAATAATGTGGCTGTCACCGCGAGAGGACGCACTGTCACAATTTTAAGAGCATGTCCCGCAACCTGCCTTTGGCCCCCGAGCAACAGGCTCAGCAAGGCTGCGGCTGTGCATGAAGGAGCAGCAGCAGAAGTGCGGAGTTTCATCTAAAGTTTGACATTTTTGTAGGGGCTTTTATGTGTTTAAAAAACAACCAAATATCAGTTTTTTTAAATAGATGTATTTTATTTTAATTCCTGTTAATTTTCAATGTGTTTTAATAACTTCCTATTGCACCAACTCTACTCTTCTCATGCGTAATTTCAGTGAAAATTTTTATCAGGCCTATTAAAAAGAAATATCCTCATTTTAATAACATCTTTTTTGGCAAGGTCATTGAAAAAAAAACTCTTGCAGCACTCACTTCTGCATCTCTCCTTGGCCCCATGTTATATTCAATTAGGGCAGGCCCCTCCCCTTAACTGATGACACTGACAGACCCTCCTTAAGTTGCGTCGCGCCACAGCTGTCTGCAAGCATTGAGCTGCCTGGCGCCATCCTGAAAGAATGCCTTCACTGTAAAAAAAGAGAGGGGAGCTAGAGTGAGAGAGAGCGAGTGAGCGAGAGAGAAAGAGAGAGAGAGGTAGAGGTAGAGCAAGGGTGAGCGAGCACGAGCCACACAGACGAAAGAGAGAGAGAGGGGAGAGTTAATGGAGAGAGGCTACAACAGCGCACAAACACAGATTTGATCAGTGAGTTTAACTTGCTGCTGCTGCTGGTCAGAGTGCGGTGAAGCCCCTCTGCGCTGGTGCAAATCTGCGCTCTACTTGTTGAGCTGAAACTGAATATTTTTCAAAGAGGAAGAAGTTCAGGAACTCTGCGTGGGACTGGATTCCGTTTTTGGACGTATTTATTTTGTAGCATTTGTAATGTGGGGTATGTTTCGTCTTTAATTTTCCTTTTATTTTAAAGGGGTGAATTGACTGAAGCGTGTCTGTTTTTTTTTAAAGTCGTGGTGCATGTGAGACAAAATTGAGAAAAACAAGACATTAAATTCTCCTCTCTGTCTCCAGGTTGATCGGAAGCACGCGCGGAACCTGTGGATTTAACAAAAATAAAGGGATTTTGGACTGATTCTTTCTCATCTTGTGACTTGTACCGCTTTGCATGAACACTTACTGAAGACAAAAAAAGCGCAAACACATTTAAAAAAGCATGGAAGTAAGTGCGGATCAGCCACGGTGGATGAGCCATCATCCCGCGGTGTTGAACGAGCAGCATACCGGCTCACATCACCCGGGCCTCGGCCACTCTTACATGGACCCTTCGCAGTATCCTCTCGCTGACGATGTGGATGTACTCTTTAATATCGATGGACAGGGGAACCACGTCTCTCCGTACTATGGAAACCCAGTCCGAGCCGTCCAGAGGTACCCTCCTCCCCCTCACAGTAAGTACAAACGGCCTCTTTAGGCCTTTTATTTATTTAATAATGTGCACATCACCCTGTTTGGATCCTTACGCGTAATTCAAACCCTGCTGCAAATATTCAATTACTGTCACCGTGTTTGGAATTATTTGTATAATCTGACTGTGATCCGGGCCAGGTTTCGGTTTTGGCCTGAGATGACTTTGTCTGAAAAACCTGAGAGCTTTAGGTGTTGTGAAACCACGCCGTAAATACGCATGGTTTACCTCCAGCTTGTCTTTGGTTTCTGTCATCTCTGTCTAAATTTCACAAATACCAAATCCAGCTGGAGTGTCAAAGAAGTATTCAAAAAGCAGTGCGTAAAGTGTGTTTTATATTTTTATCTGCTGCTAATTTGTGGATTTAATCCTACACACGTGCTGGAAGAGAAAATAATGTTTGATCACTTCTTCAACAGTCTGTTTACATTATGTTTACCTTTATTTGAACGCGCGTAAAAGTCATCTGCGGAGTTCTCTTTATTTTACGATTTAACTTCCTCAACGTAAATTCTTTTGAGGCGTTTCACGTGGAAGTTGTTGCATTTGAGGCTTGAAAATTGAAAACAGAAAATTGTAAAATTACGAACATGGAAGAGGAGTTTTACATCCTGTATAAAAAGAGTGTAGGACTCTTTGTTTTAGAGTTTTTGTGTTAAAGTTTGTAAAAAATAAAGAGTGCGTAAAAGTGTTTCATCTCGAGGCCAAAACACGATTTTTTAATTCTGTGAACATTAAATGAAAGGTTGTGTCTTTTGTGAGAAAACGTTCAGATCTTTAACGTGTTCCTGTGTTTCTGTGCTGCCTCAGGTAGCCAGGTGTGCCGTCCCTCATTACTGCACGGCTCTCTGCCCTGGCTGGAGGGGAGCAAAGGCATCGCCCCGCACCACAGCACTTCTCCCTGGAACCTGAGTCCCTTCCCCAAGAACCCCCTGCACCACGGCTCCCCGGCCAGCCTGTCCGTCTACCCCCCAGCCTCCTCCTCCTCCTCCCTGTCCACCGGCCACACCAGCCCTCACCTCTTCACGTTTCCCCCCACCCCACCGAAAGACGTGTCCCCGGACCCGGGCATATCCACCCCGGGCTCCAGCAGCTCAGTGCGGCAGGAGGATAAAGAGAGCATAAAGTACCAGGTGACCCTGGCCGAGAGTATGAAACTGGAGTCAGCTCACAGCCGGAGCATGGCATCAATCGGAGCAGGGTCATCCTCTGCCCACCACCCCATCGCCACATACCCACCCTATGTCCCCGAATACGGCCCAGGCCTCTTCCCACCAAGTAGCCTGATAGGTGGGTCATCTTCTAGTTATGGTTCCAAAACGAGACCAAAAACAAGGTCCTGTTCAGGTAGGCGTGCGCTTTATTACATTCCCTTTTGATCTAACATGATATTCCCCAGATTTGCAGCCTTAATGATCAGCCATGTTTAATCTCATATTTTTAAAAAAATCCATCCCTCACATGAACAGGAAAGATTTCAACATGGGGCCAAAGGCTAAACCTTTATTTTGGAGAGACGTATCAAAATGCCTCACAGCTCTTTCTTTCATCATCTGATAAGAAAAACAAAGCTTGAAATAACACCAAGGCGAAATATATTTCAGGTTTTTAAATTATACATCCTATTTAAGTAGTTTTTAAACGATTTAATTAAAGATGAATAACATTTTAGGAGTAAAAATCTTGATCCTAAAATTAAAATTCACATTTTTGAAGACTTAAGAGTGAAGCTACAGCCAAACGCTGTGATTAATTTAGGTCATTTTTTCACCTTCCTCTACACTAACACACAGAGAGCAACAGAGACAGAGGGGAAGCCAGCTCTCTGGGCTGTGTCGCCCCGTTTATATGTTTAAGATAATCCCATTACTGTCAGACCAGTGCGCGCCACAGTTGCATTGTTTACCCAGCGGTTCAGCACCGGATGCTGCATGTTCATTCACAGGGAAAAAAGCGGGTGAACCGTCGCCGAAGCAGAGAGCACGAACCTGCAGCACCGAGAGGGAGAGGGAGAGGGAGGGCAGATACACAGACAGAGAGAGAAAGAGAGAGAGAGAGAGATATTTTCCATTTTGAGAGGAAGAAAAAGAGGAGGGCTGGTAATTATTTTAAAGGTTATTTCTGCAGCTGAAAACCAGTTTGCAGTAATGAGATTAATATCTGAGCTTTTGATAGGAGCATAAAAAAACACACTGGATTATCTGATGCATATCATCGGGATTATTCTGCATCATACACTAATGCAAATCAAGATTTTTAATTCGAGGATAATGTGAGATAATGTGCATTTAAAGATGTGAACATCCACTTTAAACTTTACACAGAATTAAATCCTGCACAATACAAAACCTGCATTGCAAAAAGCTTGCATTTTTTTAATCTCCAGTCGTGTTTTAGTTCTTGTTTGATTCAACAGCAGTAAAGAAACACTTGTCCAGGTGCTTGCGTGTCTGTCTATCACATCTAAACGCGTCGGACTCGCGCATTTATCTCTCTTTTTTCCCTTCTCTCTGTCTTTGTGAAGGAGAAGTCGGTCTGTTTTGCAGCTCGGGGTGGGAAAAAAGGGGAAGTGCGGCTGCATGAAAATGCAAAAAGGCTCTCGGCGTGAGCACAAAAGCGCCGTGTGAGAGTCTCTGCTTTCAAATAATGTGGCAGCTCCACTTGTTTCAGTTTCAGGGCCCCTCTCTCCCTCTCTCTGTGTGTGCTCTATAATCAAACTGTTAGTGCGCGGCTCACCTGTCGGTGTCACTAGAGAAGTGCCAGTCAAAGCCCCTCAATCCTTCAAAACAAAAGGACACAGCCCCTCATAAAACTCTTACACGTGTAGCCGAATTATTCACGAGAAATTCCTCTTCAATGTTATTAAAAATGGCTGATGAGAGAATGAAAAGGGGCCTTCTATATTTTAGGCTTTCTTAAAAAAGTGTCGAAAAGCTTATGGCATTTTGCACAAAGATGAAAAAACAGTTACATGACACTCAGCTTAGCTTGAAGATTTTGTGGTTTATTGAATGAGTAAGGACCTTAACACTGATGCTGTGTTCACACCAACACTAACCACATGTTTTTAAGTGTGTGTGAGTGTGTGTGCGGCATAAATAAAAATAACTGCTGCAGAAAAACTCATGCATTTTGTTCATATTTGTTGATATGAAGATTGCACAATATGTTTGCATGTTTTATACAAATGTTGCATTATTTCTCTGCACTTCTAACCTTTTATTTCCAGCTTATTCAAATGCATATAGATTTATTATTTTTGTATTATTAAGGAACCAACTGACCGGGACACTTTGTTCGTGTTTTGTGTGTGTGTGTGTATTTGTATGTGTATGTGTGTGTGTGTGTGTATGTGTGTGTGCTCTTGCAGAAGGTAGAGAGTGTGTGAACTGCGGGGCCACGTCGACTCCGCTGTGGAGGCGGGACGGTACGGGTCACTATCTGTGTAACGCCTGCGGACTCTATCACAAGATGAACGGGCAGAATCGCCCTCTCATCAAGCCCAAGCGACGGCTGGTACGTCTCCTCCACGTTTCCTTTTTTATTGACGACATTCTCCGTCTCTCTCTCTCTGTTTTTTCCCCTATCCAGGAAGAAGTAGGCCTATTAGCTGCAGGAAATTGACTCGACAAGTGCAGGTCTCTGTTTTCAGATACTAACATAGAAAAAACTGCACATATTTTTTTCCTCCTTAAATGCAATGACGATGCTATTTTTCTTTGCACAATAATGTCATTGATTCATGGAGCTCTAAAACAATAAAGGCCCTCCTTTTAGAAGCTGCAGGCCTGCATTCAGAGAGCACATAATCAGCTCCATCATGTGAACTTTAAGTTACACTTTAGCATTTAGTCACAGGGAAACCCCCCTTTAACTTCATCAGAGCTTTTTTAAGAGGAGTTCCTCTCTGCCTTCTTAAAGAAAAAAAATACAAAAATCTATCGAGGCAAAGATGGCTGCAGAGTGCACTCCAGTCCAGTCCTGCACGCTCTGGACCTCCATAATGTGAAAAGCCGGCTTCCCAGGAAAGGGCTGCCGGATATCTGAGCAGCGCAGATAAGTCGCTTTTAACAACACAAGCCCCGCTTCCCCAGTCAAAACATACAGGGCTGCTGCTGCTGCAGAGCCCCAGTCAGGGCCAGACGCACAGTCACGACTTCAGATTTTGTTGGTGTTAGAACTTAAATAAAGATTATGGACAGGTAAGGGTCATTTCCACGCTGCATCTGACATTGCAGATTTTATTTAAGGCAGCAAAAGCAAGTAGAAAAAAAATTGCACGCCATAAAATGACACAAAAAGGGTGTATGATCATTTCTGTGGTACTTTATCACATTGGAAAGGTCAAATTTGGCTCATTCTGTGCAGAAAATATTAAAAAAATATATAAAAGAGTTTAAAAAGAGAAACTCATTATATGCAAACTTGACATTTCGACGCTATAGGGTGTGTTGGTTATTCACAGCACACATCAGCAGGGGTTATTAGGCCACCACGTGCGTATAATTGGAAATCCCTCCGAGAGATAATGTAGTCCTTTACGTTAGCGTGTCCTCTGCGGTCACCTGTCTATTGATTGTTTTTAGAGATTATAACATCAATGTCAAAGGCACTGCAGCAGACAGGCAGGCAGCTAAATCCATGAGAAGACATGACTTTGACTGTGTCAGGATGAAGGAGGGTTTGTGTGCTCTTGCTTTCCAGCCTGCAGCGAAGCCCAAAAATAACCGCACTTAACCCTATTTTTTAATTTTTACCCATACTTTTAAATGACGTTCAGTTATTACCACGTGGTTAAAAAAAAACAAAAAAAGCCTGCTCCTTTCTATGAGAACCTTTCCCATCGATGTCTCAGGCCTCTTTTCCTTCTGTCTTTTTCTTTTTCTATGTGAATTGTTTAGCGTCACGAGGTCGACATTTAAAACAAGCCCCGCACTCAAAAAGAGGGAAATTTAATCAGATTTAATAGCTCTCCCATTTCAAGGCACTGCTTTTATGTCTTCTGTAAATATTTATTCTGCACGAGGTATGCGCTCTGTGGCGCTATTTTTAGCCTGGAGTGAAAGCACTTCTGTTTTGCTGTCTTGCATTTTTTTTAAACTTTATTTTTAACTCTTGCAGCTTGAAATAATGGGTGTGCATTAAAAGTGTATATGCTACAGTAAAATTAAACCTTGTGGCTGTGCTGTAGGAATGATTTCAGTAGATTTGTTTGATGCACATGCGTAAAAGTGGCATGCGTAAAATGGAGACTGTAATTGATCTGTGATATTTATCGCATTTATGCAAGTTTAATTCATTTACAGGGCTTTTTGATGACATATGCAACATTAAAATATAATATTTAACCTTTAATTTCTCATATTGAGTGCCAATGTTTGGTCAGAGATTTACATTTAAGCGCTAAAAATCACAGAAATTAACGCCCTGAATTTTGGCGTTAAATCTGTTACAATAAAGTCCATGTTGATTGGGTTATTTCGCGGTCATGTGACCTGTTTTGTCCACTCTGTGTTGTCGTACAGTCCGCAGCCAGGCGGGCGGGGACGTCATGCGCAAACTGTCAAACGACAACGACGACGCTGTGGCGGAGAAACGCTAACGGGGACCCGGTGTGCAACGCCTGCGGCCTCTACTTCAAACTGCACAATGTAAGTAGAAAACACCTCCCTGCATGTGATTCTTTTTTTCCACCTGCATCTTACTTCTCCTCACGTCCTGCTGGGCACCTTCCTCCTCCTCCTCCTCTTCCTCCTCTTGTGAATATTTATCTGACTTGTCCCTGCAGAGAATTTCCGGGCCACGCTGATAACAAATACTGTAGAATTAATATGATTTATTGGCAGTAAGTGCGAATCTAAAATGTATAAGAGCGGAGTGAGCTGAGCCCGCAGCCTGCCGTGGTTTTGAATATTAAAGAAGGAAGGGGCTTAATTAAAATTCCATTAATTTCCAGGACGATTTCTCCCCCTCCTCACCCTCCTCTCTTGAGGAGTTCGAGTCCCCCTTCTGACCACCAATCCTCTCTGATTCGTTTTGGGGTCGCCACATCACATCAGTTCACATCCTCAATCTGAAAACCCCAGGGAGGACTTTTTTTTTTTAATCTTCAGCCTGATTTCTGCAGCACAAAGCTGTCACTGCAAATCTGACTGACACTGAAGTTTCAACTAATGATAATAATAGTCATAAAAGGAGGTTACACGTCAAACAACACATGAGACAAAATACTTTAAACAGCGTACACAGAGGCCCTTAATCCTGGATTCAGCTTCATAATCACAGAGGGTTTTAATCTGACTCTGGATCACAAGCAAAGTTTTCCACGTACCTATCATGCCCTTTACATTTACATATAATAATAGACAGGATAGGTGAGATGTTGTTTGAACAACATACCTAACAGAGGAGCAAATCTAACATGCTGATCACTAGAATTGAAATAGTGAGTTTAAACTTTGCTCAAACGTGTGAGTTGGTTTGTTTTTGTCGTATTATGTCTGTTGTATTTGGTTCACGAGCCGAGCTGTTGTGTTTTCCATCTTTTACATTCCCGTTCGTATGTTTTGATAGGTGTAAATGTCGGGTAAACACAGTGGAAGGATGTCAGATAATCTGTAAAATCTGGAGATTCCCAAAACTTTTTAGTCCGTGACCCTCAACGCAACATCGCTACAGACTAACGATGACCCTTCGAGGCGGTTGAATGTTGATCACAGCTCTAAAAAGCTGATCCAAAAATAAACACAAGAGCAACACAAAAGAAGACAACAGCCGAACAACCATGATATTATTTGAAAGTAACTCGACAAAAGCCTAGAAGAAAACATTAGTGAGGTTAGTGTTAGCGCTGCTGCAGTGATAGGACTTAGAGTCTGGTCTGTGTGCATGTAGATTCTTAACCTACCTGTGTGCACATGTGGATGCGTTACCTGCAACCTGCTGCAGCTGATGCTTTCTTGGAGCAACAAAGAAAAGAGGAAAACTGAGGATTTACACACTTTAAAAATTTCAATATATATTTATTTCTAGCAAAAAATTGAAAAAAAGATGTAAATTTTAGACGATTATTCGTTCTTTGTTTTTGAAAGTATCTCACTACCTCTACATCATTGTGTCAACATCCTGCAGAGGATCCTGATTATGAGTTGTTGTTTTTTCAGAGCCAATACAAACATCGATGATTATTAGATCATAAGACCTATTACCAATATTTAGAATTGATTAGCATGAAAAAAGATGTCAAACTTAAGACCAGGCTGTTGACCTCTAGTCCTGATGAGACCCACTGCTTGAGACTGGAGAAGACAGGAGATGAATCTGAGCTAAAACTGAGTCTGACCTCAGTACAAACTTAAAGGAGGGTAGTGTACAGTCACACAAAGTTTAATCCACTTTTTGAGCGTCAATTCTACCAAAAGAGTAAAGTTATGAGCCCCTTTAGATAATGTGAAAAGCAGAAGAATCAGATGTTTGTGTCAAAAACCGTCCTGCAGAAGTAAAATGCTGTCAGGAAATAAATGCTCCAGTGAAGTATAGAAAACTCCTCTATTGTACCCAAACAAAGTATTTGTACTTTCTCAGAGAGTGTCCTCTGAATGCTCCTTCTTAAATGAATTTCCCATGTTACTTTTGGCCCAAACTTTTCGTCTCTGCAGACGAGGAAAAAGAGAAAAGAATAATATTTCCTTGTTGCGTATTAGCATCTGAACTGGCCCTGACCTTTTGGGTGTAATTTGGAAGTTTATTTTGGTAAATCCAGACTTCTGTTTTGGATTTCTCCCTTTGAAACAAATTCCTCATTCTTCACGGAGAATTTAGTGCATGTGTGTCCAAAAAAAAACCAAAAAAAAAAACGCCTGCCTGTTGTCCCGCTAGCTTTCAGATGAGAAGCTAACTCTGACAGGATCTTTCTGCGGGTTTTGAAGTCGTGTTTCTCATCTTTGCGCGTCTGAGTTTGACACCTTTGAGTTGTGACGCTGAGGTTTAAGGTGTTGGAGAGGATGTCTGCGGTGGACACTGACTGAAAAACACTTTGGCGTGGCTTCGTGTTTGAAGTCTCAGGGGCGGGCGGCGGCCTCAGAGCAGTCCAGAGGCCCGGGGTTTCCTCTGTGAGACATCTCAGGCATCAAAGAGGCCTGACCGGGCTGTAGGTGGGCGTAGAGCTGGAAGTGAGGCCGACCAGGAGAGAGAGAGTGAGCCACATCTTAGAGAGTGAAACCACAGATCTCTGCCCTCCGCTAATCATCCAGGCCACTCTGTAAAAAAAAAAAAAAAAAATGTCTCAGACAACGAGGAAGAAATCCCCGCTCCCATTTCCCGGAGAAGAAAGATCAGGAAGCCAGTCGGCCTCATCCACCTCCCCTCGTAATCCTGCCCACAGCCCGAATTCCATCATCCAGCTCTCGTTCCCGGCTAAACCGGTGCTGGAATACGGCAGCTGGGGCCATTTTGGCCAGGAGACGACAGGGCCGAGCGGTTGAGGAGGAGGAGGAGGGTGAGAGAGAGAGAAGGAGAGAGAGAGAGAGAGGGGAGAACTTGGCGGTCGTCGTGGCCATGTGTCTCTGTGGTCGACTGGCTCGCACATGAGCTGCCAGACACTCTCCATCTCTTCCTCCATCCTTTTCCTTTTCTCTCTCTGTTTCTTTCTGGCATGGGCGCAGACTCAGATACCACACAATAACACAGTTAGGAACATACACACACGGCGTTTATGTAAACAATCTCGCATTTTAGGACGAGACACTCAGATTTGGTTCTAATGGAACTCCATTACATGTCATTAAGTCTCCCTGAAACCCCCAAATCTGTCTCGAAGACGCTCAGAAACCAACGTTTCCCTTTTAGTTTAAGATACTTTGGCTCTCTCTTTGACTAACGTTGCCATGGAATCATGAAGATATCCAAACTTTAGATTTTCATGTAGTTTTTTTTGCTGCAATCTGCAGTGGAGTTTGTGTTTTATCCCGTGGAAAAGTCAACAGAAATATGGATTATGCTTCATGCACATGAGAGTATTTGTACATTTAACATCCAATGAAATACTCTTGAACTTTATATCCTTCAGCAGAACTGAGAACGTCAACAATCGATGAACTTGTGAATAAGCTGTTTTTATTTTAAAATTGATGCGCAGTGCGAGGAAATCTTGTGGGAAAATTTCACACAAGTACAAAGACCTGATTTGGACGATAGCGTGTGTCTGCAGAAGGTGAAGCTGCAGTTTCAGGGCCACAACTCTAGGACTGCATCAGTAGGTCTCTTGCCAGAGTTAGGTTGAGATACTAAAGATGATCACCAAAAAGGATAATTTTACTCACTGAAATCAGAGTCCTTGGCGAGAACTGGGTGGTACTGACGCAAACAGCAACAATCTAGATTTGTGGTCCCAGAAATGCGGTCCTGAATCTGCAGCCTCTAGGTTTGCAGATATATTCTTCTTCATTCTTAGGGCTGTGGGCAATCATGCAAAGTGAGAAAAAAGGTCATATCTGTTTAAAATAAGCAAAATTATTAGAGTAAGGTATCTTTGAGTGCAACATGTTCCTCTCTATCGCTTTGTTATCAAAAGAAAAAGTAAATATGTTCTCTGATGCTGTTTCGTGCTTCTTTCACCGCTGTTTTTTCTAGAAGCGATAATATCTGCGGTTTTCTGATGCTCATCTTGCAGAAAAGTACACATTTCCTGCAACAAAATACTAATCTGCCATCTTTTTCTGTCTCCTTTCGAGAGCAGATCAACCGACCTCTGACCATGAAGAAGGAAGGCATCCAGACCCGGAACAGGAAGATGTCCAGCAAGTCCAAGAAGAGCAAAAAGTCCCAAGACAGCATGGACGACTTCTCCAAGAGCCTGATGGACAAGAGCAGCTCCTTCAGCCCGGCCGCCCTCTCCCGCCACATGTCCTCCTTCCCCCCCTTCTCGCACTCCGGTCACATGCTGACCACCCCCACACCCATGCACCCTTCCTCCAGCCTCCCGTTCGCCCCTCATCACCCCTCCAGTATGGTCACAGCTATGGGTTAAAGCCTGCACCCGAACCCTCGCCTACACCACTTTAACCCCTCGGTACCTCTGCTGACCTGCTCCCGCTTCCTTTAAAGACAAAAAGACTTTTCCTCCACACCCCCCCTCTCTCTCACCGGCGAGCTGCGGTGCCACGACGACGACGACAGCCTCCTTTTGTCCTCGGTTGTATCTTATTTTTATAAAATCAAAGTGTACCTCTGCGATGTGAATGCTTTGCAGACTTGACTTTTAACTCTGGCGCACTGACCTCCAATGAGGAAGAGTTTTCTTCCTCCAACACAGGAGAGAAGGAACATTTTCTCACCCATAAACCGCCACTTCTGCATCGAGGCTCTCCTCCCAGCTGATCCACACGAAAAAGGACCTCCATTTCTGTACAAAAAGCCATTTTTCCACACATAACAAAAAAAAAAAAAAAACAGACTTAAAAAAAACTTTTGCTCTCTCCCTGAAATCCCAAACATGCCTCCCTCTCTTTTCCTCACACCTGTGTAACAGGAAACCCCGCCCCGCTCCCTACAAGCTCCTCCCCTTTCTTCTTCTTCTTCTTCGAGGAGAGACGTTGAATATATTTGTACAAATTGTATGAAATACAGTACATTTAATGAAGACTTTTTAATTAAGTAAGAAGAAAAAAAAGGAAAACATGCCCCCGGGCAGCTAACAACGAGAAGGGTACGAGTCGCGGCAGGTGGAGAGGACGCCTTTTGGAGGAGAGAAAAAAGGGAGAAGGAGAAAAGAGAGGAGAGACTTTGAGAAGGGCAGGCCTCTGTTTTTCGCCTGCGTGAGTTGCGTTGCATTAAGTTTGCAGAGAGTCAGCGGCTCCGGCTGCAGACGTTTCTCTCCTTTTTTTTTTGTTTTGGATGTGCTATAGGTCTCGGGCAATTGGTTTGTGTTGCACCTACACACACATGCATATAAACACACACACACACATGCACACACATGCACACACACACACACACCTGAAAGACTTTCTTCCTGCCCACAGATTATATGCATTGTGAAAAAAGTTCCTGTATTTGTTATTTGTATGTATAAATCAGAGTACCAAAAATACGAAATAAACAAAGATGTAGAATTATTTCTTTATGTTATGCAGACTGAATGGTTGTAAAAATTTAATAATAATCACTAGTGTAAAATATGACTGCTTTTTTGTTTCGTAATTTTTTTTCCCTCTTTGAAAATAATAAACTAGTTTAATCTCTGTTGACATGTTAGCGCTGCGCTCCCGAGCCGTCTTTTCTGTGTGATCTTTGACACCCTCTCCACCCATGACCGCCAGCCACCGCCAATTTTATATTTATATATCTAATTTTTTTTTACCCAGCATTCACAGGGGCAGCCTGCTCAGGTCAGGGTAGTACAAACAGGAAGAGCAGAAATAAACAGAAGCGATGCAGGAACAAATCAAACAGTAGGGTCAGAGAGGTCGGCGTGGCGGCTGAAGGGGCTTTTGTCTCATCCTACAGATACATAAATACACACCGAGAAACACGCAACACTGCGCACACACACATCAAACAATTATCAGTCATTTGAAGGGGAGGATTCATCAGGAAGCAGAATCATTTCAGGCGTTTCCTTCAGACTTAAGATCACTTAAAACTATTTATACACTCAAACCTCAATTTCAATTCATAAGATCTGGGACAGAAAAAAATTCATAAAAGCCGATTTTGATGGTTTGCAAACCCTTTATTGAATTAGAAACAGTGCAAATACAAAATATCAAATGTTCAAGTGAAAATGTTTTGAATGAAAAATAATTTAAAAAATGTTTCAAAATGGGACAAAAAACACAATTAAGTAAAATGTCTAAAAACACCTTGAGCATAATCGCATTAGTTTGCAACAGGTTAGCAACATAGCCGGGCATAAAAAGGCTCTTCTGAGAAAGTGAGTCTTTCAGAGGTAAAAACAAGACAAGGTTTACCACTTTGTGAGAGACTGCGTGAGCAAGTCTTTATATGGTTTCAGAAAAATGTTCCAAAAAACTAGAATATTTTATTTATTCAACTGCAGTTCACTGTATCAATAAAGGTTTCTGAGAATCAGGCGGCATTGCATTTTGAAAGCAGACATGAACCTGAAGTGGAAGTCACCGCATTGCAGCACAAAATCATTCCAAAAAACTAATAACTGGGAACAGAGGTAGTTGCTGCATCAACAAAAAGTAAAAAATTATAAAATTTCCAAAAAGAAAAAAAAATTGTTTTCACTTAAAAATGTGTGAGATTCAACCAGGAGCTTTTAAAAGTACTTTTCATCTGATAAATGTAAGAGAAGAGGTTTCTTCCTTCAGCCACAAAATGCAGGTTAAAATTACACCACTTAATCATGTATATTTATATTTCATTTATTTCACCTTAAATGGTTTACAGATTTGCTGTTTTTGCTCACACGATACACAGCATCTCATCTCTAGTGGAGTTGAGGTTTTAGTAGAAGTCCCCCTTTGTTACAGCTCTTCACTCTCAATCTTTCAAAAACACAAAAACAATCCAAACAATCTCATCAAACTCATGTTGCAGTGTTGCTTCACTACCTCTGAGTAAATTCCAAGTATTCAGCAGGGGAAAGAAAAGGAAGTATGTTGGTGACCACCACTGAATTTGATGAAACTTCCCTCTCACAGTATCCGCAGATCAACCCCAAAGTTATCAGGATTCAATCAGAGGAATTTAAAAAAGCCCAAAGATCAAATACTTTTGGTTTTTAGGACCACAAATAAGCAGCAAGACCACAATGTACAATACACCACAGTTTGCATTTGACATTTAGAGAGGAGGGGAAACAGAAAAATCCCTCAGTTGGATTTGTTTTTGCAGAGAGCACACAGCAGGTATAGCGATCCAGTGCCAGAAAAACAAACTTGATTTATTTGGAATTTAATATTTTGAAATCTCCTCTTGACCACTTTGTGCACAAATCTGGTACAAATGTTAGATATTTCTATTAAATCAAAACACCAACAGTCATATCAGATATTAACTTTTACTGCTGACCACACCACATGCAGAAAAAATGTTATGACTGAAAAATTACATTTTCACAGTATGTTATTGTTTCTGTTCCCACTAAACGATTATTTTTACCACATGAAAATACTCCAAGGATCATCAGCTCAGTCACATACAGAGGAGAACTGACTTTTGTTGCAGGATGCAGGCCAGTTTTTCACTTTTTTGGTGCGTCTTACATACAGTAAAGTGCTGTGAAAATGATGACTGATTAGAACAAAGTGAGAAAGTAGAGAAAAATTGAAATGCTGCAACGTGTGGGCATAAAACATGTACATTATATCATAATATATCACTGTGAGGCAGTTGAAAGTGCTTCACAGAGAAATCTCAACATCAGGAAATAACTACATATCTGTATGTCGCACAAACATTAGGCATACAGGAATGGGCAAAAGGGGGCTGCAATGACTGTGAACGCTATGTGTGCACACAACCACTGTACATAATATCATTAAAGACAGAGAGAACATGAAGAGATCTCTGTGTAAAAGGCTAAAGGCGTGAAACCAAAACTGCTTTCTGGCTCTCTGGTGACATTGCATCAAAAACAGACATGTCTCTGTGTAAAAGTCACCAAATGGGCTCAAAATCACATTCAAAAGCCATTGTCTCAGTCGTGGAAGTCACCACATGGGTTTAAAAATCACATTCAAAAACCATTGTTTGTGAAACCAATACTAGTTTCTGGACTTCTTGAGACATTGCATCCAAAACAGACATGTCTCTGTAGTGGAAGTCACCACATGGACTCAAAATCACATTCAAAAGCCATTGTCTCTGTAGTGGAAGTCGACACATAGGCTTAAAATCACATTTAAGGCCATAAGTTGTGAAACCAATACTGGTTTCTGGACTTCTTGAGACATTGCATCCAAAACAGACATGTCTCTGCAATGGAAGTCACCACATGGACTCAAAATCACATTTAAAAGCCATTGTTTGTGGAACAAGTAGTGGTTTTTGGACTTCTTGTGACATTTCAACCAAAAAACAGACATGTCTCTGTACTAGAAGTCACCACATGGGCTCAAAATCACATCCAAAGGCACTGTCTCTGCAGTGGAAGTCACCACATGGAATAAAATCACATTCAAAAGATTGTCTCCTTAGTGGAAGTCACCACATGGGCTCAAAATCACATTTAAAAGCCATTGTTTGTGAAACCAATACTGGTTTTTCGAACTTTTGTGACACTGCATCAAAAACAGACATCTCTCTATAGAAGGAATCACCACATGGACTCAAAATAAACCCAAAAGCCATTTTTTGTGAAACCAATACTGTTTTCTGGACTTCTTGTGACTTTGAAACCAAAAAAAGACATGTCTTTGTAGAAGGAATCACCACATAGGCTCAAAATCCCACTCAGAGGACATTGTCTCTGTAGTGGAAGTCACCACATGGACTCAAAATCACATCCAAAACCATTTAATGTGAAAGTGTTCAAGAAGAAAGGGAAACCATGATCATGATCCAGAAACACTAGTGATTTTTCTAAACCTGAGTGCATCTAAGTCGAATGAACTATCTGTAATATGAGAAATCAAAACTGGACATTGTTTTTGGAAATCATGGACGCCTCATCCTACAGGGATCTACTTGGCTTTTTGATCCTTGCACAGCAAAAAAGTTTAGATTAATTTTCCCTGATGGCATGAAAGAGTAAATACAAGTTGTGTGAATCAAGATGTCCAATAAAGGAGGAAAAATGTTGTTTATTTCTTTATTTTGCGCTCATAATCAGTTAATCCTCTCTTATGCAACACACACTCTGCCCTGTGGCCTGCAAACTCCACACTGACCCAACTCATCTCCCAGCATCTAAATCTTGTTGAACCACATTTCCAATATTGGAATATATTTGCACAAGTGGACGTCCAAATCCGGCGGCTGCGGCCCTCTCATGCCTCCCTGCAGGAAAAGGCCAAACAGGAGTCAGGAATTTGGCGTCATTTGTTTCTGAGCCGCTGTGACCAATCGGGAGATTTGCTCGTGTGTTTTAATAGTGAGGTCAAAGGGGCATGTGGGACGGGATGGGAAGAGAGAGAGAGAGAGAGAGAGAGTGTGTGTGTGCGAAGAGGGATTGAGGAGAGCTCTGCCCTGTGCTGGGACCCCATGGCCCCTGGCTGACCTCTTCTTCTATGGTGTTTGGCTGTGGACGTCTGCCAAGGGTGAGTGGATGTTCAACTCAGGTGAGGATGTATGAAGGACTCTCTGTGATCTCTTCTTCTTCTTCTTCTTCTTCTCTCCATCATCATCCTCATCGTGGTAACACAGCACTTATTTCTGTCTCTCTCTCTCTCTCTTTCTTTCCATCTGTCTGTCTTTCTTCCTGCCTCTGCCTCTCGTCTTTCAGGTGAGGATGCTGACAGATTTGTGGGTGTAATCGGCTCTGAGGAATAGTCCGTCTTCATCACCATCAGCACAGGTCAGGTCAAATCTGGGGTCAACTTCTCAGAGGGATTTAGATGTTGAAAATACTCTTTCTTTTTTTGGAAAGTCACTTAAAATGATTTAAAAAAACTTAAATGATTTGTTAAATCTCTTAACCTTCTCCAAATTTCAACTTGAAATTGGAGTTTTGATGCTGAAACTGAAAGATTTCGCCTCTTCGAAAACCCATAAAATAATCAGCCATGCTCTTTTGCAAGCTAACTGACTCTTTCACCAACTTTTCGCCAATATTGTGACGAATTTAAAAGTCAAAGGTTGCAGTTTTTTCATCAAACTTCTATTTTAAAAGCTGTTAAGTACAAAAGTCTCATTTTAAGTTAAAGGGTTTCTACATTTAGATGATAACACACGCATTGGGGACGCTAAACAGTGGCCATTTTCTTTTGCATTAGACACTGTCTCTCCTGGAAGATGTTGTTATAATGATGAGATATGACATAAATATTTCCAAAGTATAAAGAAAAAAAAAAAATCTCTTCACACCTCGGCCACAGAGCTATAAGTGAACAACATCTCCGAGTTGGTAGAAGAAAGTTGTTTCCACAGGATGTGTCGACACCTGTCTACATTTCTGATAGTTTCTGACAAACATTTCACTCCTCTCGGTTTGGGTGTGTTAGTTTCCTCTCTTACACACAAACACTCACAGAGGCGTGTTATTAGTAATTTGGGTTCGGAGGCCAGACCGAGTTGCGCGATCGTGGTCGCAGGTGGAGGTTAGCTGTGTGTTGTGGGTTAGTGATTCCTCTAGATTAAACACCTAAAGTCAACATAAGTCAACACTTTGTATTGTTTGAAGGCTGATTGATGCTTTTGCTTCTCATCAACTCTGACTGTGAATGTTTCATGATGTGGTTATGAAGCTAAAGCAATCAGCTAGTTAGCATAGCTGTGCAACAGAAACACGGATGTGGTCTCAGAGAGGTTATAGAGGTTGGAGCGGTGACAGGCCTTCAGCCTCCCAATTATACCTAATGGTGCTAAACTTTTAGCTTTAATACGACCAAAACAGATAAATCCTAAGAAAATTACAAATGTAGAGATAAGATGTCTTATACCAGGATGTAAATCTGTTTAAGATTAGCATTGTAATACAGGGCTTTATTTAGGGATTGACTAGCTTTTGGAGACAGCCCTGGTGGACACTTAAGGAACTGCAGTTTTTGCACTTTAGCACTGACTTTATTTTTCAACACCTGAGGCTACCGCTGGGTAAAGATAAAAAACAGACCACCACCAAAATCCTCAGACCCACTTATTCACAGTCTTTTGTAACAGACTCAAAGTTAATAGTCTGTTCCATTCTACTCTGGCACCAAAATCGCAGTGATTGTAAAGATCATGTGATGAAGTTCTAGGGCCAAAAAAGAGGGGAAAAAAAAAAAACATTTTAAGATAAAATTGCAAAATTTACAAGAGTAAAGTTAGCATGTCAAAGTCATAATGTTTGTGAATAAAGAAACAGTTTTGGTCACTTTTGTGTTCATTTAAAGGGACATATTAAAGGACTATTCAGCTGCCTGTTATAAAATCAATCACTTTTTTGTGGTGAAACTTATGCAAACTTGCAACTTTAATCTTGTAAATTAATCAATTTATTTTTGCAAATTTGCATATTTATTTTCATTAGCTTTTTTCACGTAGTCCTCATAAATTAATGTTTTTATTCTCTTTTTAATTCTTGCAAATTTATTCTGCTAAGTGAATTTCTGACTCAGTTTTTATAAATTTACAACTTGATTGTTATTAAACAGAAGATTTATCCTCGTAAGCCCTTTAATGCCTGACACCACAACTTATGGCCAGAAAATTTACATTTTTTTGGATCTGAAAAGTTTATTCCACTTACTACTGAAAACCCCCCAAAATCAAAATGTCCTTAAATTTTAACAAAAAAATTAAATTAAATTAAATTAAAATTTATCTAGTTTGATACATTAGATGTTTTTGGAAACTGGTAAACTACTGTACTCAGGTGTTTTTTTTAAGTAATTTTTTTTATCATATTGATTTGATAGACGTATATAATATATATCAAATATGATACATAAGGCATTAAAGGGTTTTGAAAATTCTGTGTCAAAACATAGCGCATTAAATGTTAGTTATATGAAAATAAGACCTCTATTACCTGCGCTGACCATTAAAAGTTTCCTTTTGCTTGAATTAGAGGAAGTCAGAGGTATTTTATGCTCCCCACAGGAGCTGTTTTGGACTCTTTGGTATCTCTAATCTCCTCTGATTTCATGTTGATACCATTACGAGATAAGTAAACTGTTAATATGGTTTCCTAAAATTAGTATGGGATTACCCCTGTGTCTTTGGGAAGTAAAAGCTTTTGTAGTTCTTATCCACTGGTCTTTGTTTTGAAAGACCTGAAGCCTGAAACATGAGGGATGAGCTGCTGCGGCATTGTGGGAGTTCTCTCACTTGTTGGAGACCCCCTCGCCACTTTGAAAAGAGCAGCCTCGTGTTGCATTGTCTCCTTAACAATCGTAAATTTGAACCATAATCTCCCGTCACAACACAGCAGATAAAAGATAATTATCTCTTTTACTGAGGTGCCCTGGGGCTTCTTGGACGGCCTAGCAGACAACGTGCCTAAACCCTCATCCCACACACACACGCACACACACTCACACACTTGCAACAGGCTTTGAGTCTGCTGCTGCTGCTGCTATGATGAGAGATTTGTCAACAGATGAGTTCAAATGTGTTTGTGTGAATCGGCGGCATGAAAAAACAGCATCCCAACCTTCTCTTTTAACAGATTTTTTATGCGAGAAGCCTTTTCAAATGTGTGTTTTTTTTCCACCTTTTTAAGATTCCACGGAGCCTTTTCCTGAGAACTGGAGGTGGCGCAAAGTTCACAGGTTCACTGAGGGAGCAGCTCGGAGGTACAACATCAGTCTACGACGGAAAATGTCAGAGAGAATGAATGAAGACCTGAGAGGGTCTTGAAGAGCGTGAGGTGATGTGTTTCAGAGAAAAAAGTTTAAGGCACGAAGGATTTGGGTTAAACAGAGGTGGAATATTTTAGCGAGGATTGAGAATAGACGAGTAAACATGGAACCAGAGAGGGAACAACATCCTCCACCTTAAAGATCCTGGGAGTTGTGATTTACTTTGTATGTCAAACTGGTTTACCAACAAAGTTTAATAGTATTTTTGATTTGTATGCAGAGCCCTGGATCGATGGTTAATGAATGATCAGGCAGCAGAAGAAGACAGGACATTAACAACTGTAAAAGAGGTCATTTGACATGAGAGTATAGGTTGGGTTTGAGGGACATCAACGAAATTGAAGAAAACAGACACAAAGGGAACACCTGTTTGTGTCTGCGAAAAGTCTTAAAAAGTAACTTGGGAGAGCCTGAAATCAGGTCTTTCAGGCTTTTTACTCACATGTTCAAAAGCCAATGAAAATGCAAATGTTTCCACTGCTAGTACCCCCCACTCATCATACATTATTCCTTATTTATGCTAAGCTAGCTGCCTGGTTTAGAGTTGTTACAATATACCAGTATTGACAATATTTGACTGATTTTGTGGGGAAAATTAGCAAACTGTAATACTGCAAGTTCATTGTCGTTGTTCCTCCTGTTGCCACACTTCATTAATTGGAGGATAGATGAAGATGAAATGGCTGACTGCTAGTTAGCTAGCTGTAGCAGCCTATGTAAGGTAATTGCATAGATTAGTTACGTTTATGATGGACTTCCTTCAAATGAAGAGCTCGACTGCATCAGGGTACATTGGTAATAAGACAAAAAAATGTTGAAAATTAACAAGAGGGGACCAAGCACTGAACCCTGGGGGACACTTTTAGTTAGAGAAGCAATGGGGGAATTGCAGTTATTGATATCAAATAAATCACCTTATGCAAAATAAAAGCTCAAATTTGATATGATTTGGAAAAAAATAAACAAACCTTTAGGAAAAATGTCAAACTTTGTCTCAACTTTTTTCATACGCTGCGCCTTGAAAGTAAGTATTTGCCAAAAATATAAACTGTTGTGGTGTCAGTGCTGTGGTGGCCTGGATAATTGTAACAGAAGGATGAAAGTAAAAGTGGGTGGCTTACTTTGCAGATTTGTTTTACACAGAAACATGACACACATTTGTAAGGTCAGCATTTTATGAACTTTAAACCTCCTCCTTTTCTCCATTCAGCAGTTGAAGGCCTGATCTAACAACAACCATCCACAAAGATTCAGCTTTGGCAAATTTGTCATCCTCCTGACGTGAAATATTTTCCTTCACATCCCCCCCTGCAGCACCTCAAGAGTGTACGCCATGTATTCTGCTCTACCACTCAGCTCTCAGGACATGTTTTACTACCTTGTCCCCTGATTGGCGCTAAGTAACGGACAGCCGTCTCTCCCAGCCCCCGGGCCAAACTGAACCTCACCTGTCAAACCCTCCGTGGCAGCAGCACATTTGCATGGGCCCGCATCCACAAACTGTCACTGGGGGTTTACCCAACGTCGTATGAAGCTTTCACAGAGAGCGAACAGTCAGCCAAATCACCTGAGCCACGCACCAACCGACTGATAGCTGACTGGCATCTCTTAGCCGCATCACAAATCCGCAGAGAGAGCCGAGCAGACAGGTGCTTGTACTCTGCTCATTTGGCTGCAGTGCCAGGGGACATGCATTAGCTAAGCTGTGTTTGATGACACGATCTTGGCACCATCTGCAAAGGTGTGTTTGAAGAGTGTGTGTTGAAAACCACTCCGTTTATATCTGAGCCAAGTCATGCCTTAATCACCTTTTAATAAACAGGGGAAGAAGTTGATATCTCAAGACAGATGCTGCAGCTTTATATCTTTGCATACTTGTTTTGGGATGGGTGTACTATTAATCTATTC